TGTGGGAGTGTGTGTGTGGGTGTGAGTGAGTGTGTGTGTGTGAGTGAGTGCGTGTGGGTGTGAATGCCTCCTGGAGGGACCTCACAGCTGCTAGAACCTAGACTCCTGCCTCCTCCTGCCTCCCAGGCTCACGCTGGCTCTGCAGGGGACACCGTGACATGAGAGGCTCACTACAGACCCATCTCCTCACCGTGGTCCTCCTGTGCCTCTTCTCAAAGGTAAGGGGAACCCGGGGCCCCAAATGTACCCCTGACTTCTTTGGTGGGAGGGAGGGGGACTGGCAAGGTGAGTGATTACAGCCAAGACCCCCACCCGGACCCCCGACCCCTGCGCTCTGTACCTTAGCCCCGCTCTGTGTAGCGCGTGGAGCGTAGGCACGTGAGGTGGGCGTCTCAGGGCCTGCTCAGAAGAGGGCTTGAGGGTGATTACTGACCCCCCATGGCCCTTCCAAAAGCAGGAGCAGGCACCCCCATTGTAAGTGGGAAACGGAGACTCAGCCATCTTCTCTCCACCCACCCCATTGGAAAGGCCACACTACACGGACCCTCAGGTGGCCTGGTCCCAGGAGGGCAGGGCACACACCAAAGGACTTGTGAGCTACATGGGACAATTGTCACGAGGCTAGTGGTGCGTCCGCTTTACCTGACACACCCACCCCCTACCTTCATTTTCACCTTCACCTTCATTTTCAGTCCAGCGAGGCACAGAGAGGGTACGCACTTACCCAAAGCCCCACCGCCAAGAGCCATCACAACCATAGAGGAGGGCCAGGGGGGAGGCTGGATGGGCACGGGGGCATTGGGGCGTAACCCGGGTCGGCACTGTAGCTGCAAAGCCCTGTCCTTTCCTAGGGAAATACCAGGGCTCTGGCACCAAGGGAGGAGCCCTGGGGCTTGGTGGGTCCCCATCGGGCTGCAACCCACAAAACCAGCAGCCAGCTCCATGGGGGAGAGGCAGGCTCTCTCCTCCTGTAAACAGAAGCAGGCTCAGGGACTCACAGGGGCCGTTCTAGCCTGTCCTACAAGGTTGGGCGAGTCAGCGTGGACCGATGGCAGTGGGTAGAAGGTGGTAGTGTTTTTGTTTGTTCAGGTTTGGGCATCAAGGCAACCATCCTCACCACGAGTCCTGTGGTGATCACACTGTGCCCACATCCACAGGGTCACACACGGTGAGTCAGAATCGACCCCAGGCAGTGGGCTGGGTCTTGTGAAGAGCTGGGGCAAGTCTGCCTCTCCCTTGGGTTCTGATGTGGGGGGCCCAGAGAAGGCCGTCTATAAGCTCAGATGGGACAGACAGGACATCATGGCGGGGTGGACAACTAGGACAGGGAGAGCAGGGGCACTGGGGCTTCTGGAAGGAAGCCAGGTCCTGGGATCAAATGTAAGATCCAAATCAAGCTGTCCTCCACTCCCTATTGCCTCCTGTCCACTTCCCCTGGTGCTGGGAAACTGAGGACCATTCCTACAAACACAGGAGCCACCACAGCTTCTGACAGAGGCCCCGGGCTCCCAGGCGGGCTGCAGGGAGAGGCAGGAGCAGAGCTAAGCAAGAACAGAGCCATGGTGCTCATGGCCCCACAGAGTCCCACCATCCTGCTCAGCTGCGGGGCCTTTGTGAATGAGGCGTCAGAGCCACACAGCTGTCCGTGAGTGCTCTCAGTCCCTGCCCAGAGGACAGCCCGGCTAGTGCTCCCATCACAGAGCTGCCTCACCTGGTGACCACAGCGGGACCAGGGCAGCCAGACACTGAGCACTGCTTGACTTTAGGGCTGGGCAGGCAAGGAAGGGCGTACGTAGAACGAGACTGGGGAGGACGTAGCTCTCCTTGGCGGGGCAGCAATACCACCTGTGACTTCCCATTTTTCCTCTTGAACAAGTAGGCACGTTGAGGCAGCAGCTACGCTGGGGTCAGAGCCCCCCAGGACGAGAGGTAGGGGCGGTAATTCCATGCTCAGGCCTGCAGTCACCTGAATCTGGATTCCGTCTGGACTCTTTAGGTCTTGCTGGCTGTCCCTACCCTGCTTTCAAAAACAGTTTTATTGGCACAAATCCACGTATCACACAATTCAACGGTTCGGTCCTCTCAAGAAGGGTGGTACGATCACCATCATGATCAATTTCAGAACGTTTTCTTCTATTTTGTGCTCATTGGTATTAACTCCCCATCGTCCCGAGCCTACCCCCAAGCAGCCACTAATCCAGTGACGGTCTCTACAGATTTACCTACCCCGGATTTCATATGCAGAAAAACATACAAAACAGAACACCAACAGCAATAACAACATATAATGGAGAAAAACCTCCATCGGAAGGAAAGTAGAAAAATACTGAAAACTAGGGCAACTTTATTGTATTTATTTATTTTTTAAATATATTGTTTTATGGGGGGCTCTTAGAACAATCCACACATCAATTGTATCAAGCACATTTGCACATATGTTGCCATCATCATTTCTGAAATATTTTCTTTCTACTTGAGCCCTTGGTATCAGCTCCTCCTTTCCCCCCCTCCTTCCCCCCTCCCTCCCTTGTGAACCCTTGATAATTTATAGATTATTTTTATTTTCATATCTTATACTGTCCACCATATCCCTTCACCCACGTTTCTGTTGTTCATCCCCCTGGGGGGTATTGTATGTCAATCAATGCGATCGGTTTTCCCTTTCTCCCCCAACTCCCCCCACTTTCCTCGTATCCTCATGATGTCGCTACTCGCATTATTAATCTTGAGGGGTTTATCTGACCTGGATTCTGTGTGCCCTTCTCTGTACCAGTGTGCATGCTCCAGTCTAGTCAGAACTGAAAGGCAGGATGGGGCCATGATAGTGGGCAGTGAGGAAGCCTCAAAGAACCAGAGGAACATTGTGTGTTTTGTGGGTGCTATACTGCGCCCTGGTTGACTCGTCCCTTCCTTGTGACCTTTCTGTGAGGGCAGGTAGGACGACTTTAAATCGTCACTACCCTGCTTGAGCCTTAGTTCCCTGGTCTCTGGCATGGGGATGATGAGGGTGGTGGTCAGTGGAGGGTCATGAAGGGTGTGCCTATGATCTCAGGGCGCTCCCATCAGTCTCTACAAGGTGTCAGGATTCAGCCCTGCCAAGCCTGCCAGGGAGAGGGAGCCAAACCAGGCAGCCAGGTGACAGGAGAGGGTCCCTCCACCCACACCTTCCCCCTAGCCAAGGGAGCTAAGTCTCTGGTGTGGAAAGTCGGTGAATCCCTTGAGAGCCCCCCGGTTAAATGCAGGCGCTGATTTCTAAGATGCTGTGTTGCCAATAAGCTGGAGGTGATTAAGCTCACTGGCATGGGGTGCACTTTGAAGGCAAGGTTAGGCCATTGTCTCCAGAATCACTTCGGGATTACTCAGTCCCCTCTCAGAAATTCCTCCATCCCTCCCTTATGGGGCCAGTCAAGACACCCGCCTTCTGCTGCCTTGGGTGGGCGGCTAGGGAGCGCCAGGTCTGACTCTGCTGAGCTGGTTGGACAGTCTGGGGCGGCGCCTGGTGGCCAGTTTAGGCGCGGCAGCCTAACCACGCCGCCAGCTGTTTGCAGGGTGGCAGGGTGAAGGGAAAGGCATCATTCCCGGTTTGAGGACCACACACCAAAAAAACAGGCCAAGCTCTGCCATCAAGTTGACTTCGACCCATAGCAACCCTGCAGAGGGCAGGAACCTAGAGTCCTGCTCTGAGCTCTCGGGTTGCTCTTGACGACTTAACCCATATGGATCGTTCTTTAAAGAGCACAGCGCTCAAGGCGAGGTTTTCTTTTTTTTTTTAAACATTTTATTAGGGCTCATACAACTGTTATCGCAATCCATACACACATCAGTTGTGTAAAGCGCATTTGTACATCATTCTCAAAACATTTTTTCTCCACTTAAACCCCCGACATTAGGTCCTCATTTTTCCCCTCCCTCCCTGCTCCCCCCTCCCTCATGAGCCCTTGATAGTTTATAAATTGTTATTTTGTCATATCTTGCCCTGCCCGACGTCTCCCTTCACCCACTTTTCGGTTGTCCATCCCCCAGGGAGGAGGTCACACACAGTTCCATGTAATCGGTTCCCTCTTTCCTACCCATTCTCCCTTTACCCTCCCTGTTTCGCCACTCACACCACTGGTCCTGTAGGGCTCATCCACCCTGGATTCCCTGTATTTTCAGTTCCTATCTGTACCAGTGTACCTCCTCTGGTCTAGCCAGACTTGCAAGGTCAAATTCGAGTCATGGTAGTGGGAGCGGGAGCGGGGAGGAAGCATTTAGGAACTAGAGGAAAGTTGTATTTGTCATCGTTGTTACATCGCACCCTGACTGGCTCATCAAGGCGAGGTTTTCAACAGTTAAGCAAACTATTGTTAGGTGCTAAGATATTTGGCGTTTCAGATTTAAAGATTATCTCAGAAAAACAAAGCAATAAAGATGATCACAGAGCAATGGTTTCAGGGGTTCGTTCACCTCCCACTGTTCCAGAGAGCCCAGAGTCTGCATTTCCCCACCTTCAATCAGGATTTTTGGATGAGATCTTTGATCAAAATTCTCCGTAATGGCAGCTGCACACCAACAATTTCTTCTGATCTTCTGGCTAAGAAGGGAGCAATCAGCCACTCATTCCAAGGGCTCCTGCCGATCCCGACTGCTCTCCTTCCTCTCTTGCTCCACGTGGATAGAGCCCAATTGGAGTGCCTTGGGTGGCTGCCTGCAAGCTTTAAAGACCTAGAATCTAGGAGGCAGAACAGAAGCCCTAACTAGGTTGTTAGACCCATGGATGAGGATGTCCCAGGAAAACTCCAGAGTCCAGGAACAACATCCCATAAAGTGATTGGCTGTACAGGAGCAGACTCCATAGCTATCCTGGTGGTGGTGGTAACTATGTCTACATCTATTCCAGAATGTCAATGTTACACATGTACAACTCATTGACAGCGATCACAACAATCAGCCGTGCAACCCTTCCCTTAATCAATGTGACTTTTCCCATCACTGTTAACCCCCTCTAGAGATAGGGTTCTCTAGAGAAACAAAGCCAGGACACTTATGATATTAGATGATAGATAGATAGATAGATAGATAGATAGATAGATAGATAGATAGATAGATAGATACAGCACAGAGGAATATAACAGCTAATTAGTCCACACAGCAGTACAGAGGGTACCGTGGAACAGTTAACATACTGGAAGTCCTTCATCTCACGAGGGCTGCTGGGTCCAAGGTCAAGGAAGCAAACATCTGAATCTTCCCTAGGGCAATGCAACAGTCCGGCTACAGGCAGCAAACAGTAGGGTGAGTCACCAACAGTCAGCAGCTCAGGAGCTTAGCGAAGCAGGCCCAGATGGGATATCAAACTCAAGCAATGCAAGACGACAGGATCCAGCAGTCTCAAGCTCAAGCGATGTACACACCAGCAGCATGGCAAAACGGATCTCAAAGGAGCCTCAAGCTCTAGTGACATGATGCACGGGTTGGCTGTCCCCCAGATAGTGTAGCTCACAAGTTGAGGCAGAGAACTAGCTAAAGCAGCCACATGCTGGCCCAATCATAGAACAAGAGAGAAAGGGGCAGGGCTTGCGGAGCTGTTTTTCTCTTTGCCCTCCAATCAAGCTGAACCTTATTAATCCCACATGTTCCTATTGGCCAGGTTGGCACAGTAAACCTACCTATCACACCCCCTCAGCCCCATCCCTCCCACCCCTGGTGACCACTCATAAACTCTGACCTCCACACATTTGCCTCCGCTTGTCTTTTTATAGAGGCGGGGACATAAAACATATATCCCTCCGTGATTGGCTTATTTCATTCACATCATGCCTTCAGGCAGGATCCAGCTCCAGGGGTGGGGGGTGGGGGGAGGGGGGGTTTAGTGACTGTGCTTGGGCTAAAGTCAATAGCCAGACTTTTCTTCCAAGACACCTTTGGTGAGTAGCGGGCACTTCATGGTTTTTGCCACCCAGGGCCATGGGGCAGACCTTGGATCAAGGGGGCATGTGTTCTTCACCTGTGTGCTATGTTGGGGAGCCCTCAGCCTCAGATAGGTGGATTGCAGTTCGGTGGTTTCTTTGTCCTGGGTGGGCAGTCAGGACCCCGAGTCAATGCCTTGGCTCTGCCACTGAGGGCTGGGTGCCTGGCTCAGGTGCCCATTCAGGAACAATCTGTGCCTGGGTCCTCAAGAAGGAAACAGGGACTTGGGATGGGAGCGAACACACGCTGGCTTTTGGCAAAGCCCTTCCCCCTCTGGACCTCAGTCTCCTCCATCTGGACACAGACCGGGGGAGGTGAGCGAGAGTGTTGGACTGGATCAGAGGGGCTGCAAACCTAGCTGTGCGCCCAATGCTTCTGCAGAGCTGGTTAAAAATCCAGGTTGCAGGGCCCCTCCTCTGGGAGCTGGGGCCTGGTGAGTCTCTGAGGGGCCCTGAGGTTGGTGCTTGACCAAGCTTCCTGGCTGATGTGAATGCCCACGCCAGGACTGAGAAATGTCCTCTCAGTGGCTCCCAAGCCTGAAACCACCCACAATGCCATTCAACTTGCTCAGCCGTGAGGATTCACAGCCCACACGCTGGAGATGCTGCCAGGAGCCATCATGCCGTGGTGTGGGTCTTCCCTAAGCTCCTGCCGGGCAGGGCCTGAGCCCTTTCGGGTCATTAGGGTGCTGAGTGGTGCAGCTGAACTCGTTGGGTGTCTACGGGGTGGCAGGCAGGGTCCCCAGGACTTCACATTGCCCTGTTTCTTACTATCTTTGGCACCATCCTACTATTCTTGCCCCCCTCCCCATCCTACTGATGAGGAAACAGGCTCAGAGAGGGTATATAACTTGCCCCGGGTCACACAGCTAGTAAGGGACTGGCTAAGTCAGGCCTGGGACTCTAGTCCAACAGTCTTGCTCAGGGCCCCAATGCAGGGAGGGTCATGGCCAGGTCTATGGCTAAGGGAGGTTTCTGTCTCTGCAGGTGTGTGCCCAGCTGTGCCCAACACCATGCACCTGCCCCTGGCCACCTCCCCGGTGCCCACTGGGGGTGCCTCTGGTGCTGGACGGCTGCAACTGCTGTCGGGTATGTGCACGGCGCCTGGGGGAGCCCTGCGACCACCACCACGCCTGCGACTCCAGCCAGGGCCTGGTCTGCCAGCTCGGGGCGGGCGCCGGCGGCCAGGGGGCCCTGTGCCTCTGTGAGCAGGTTTTGGGGACTGGTGAGGGGGGTGGGCAAGGACACAGTGACAGACCCCCAGTCCATGCACAGCCTCCTCTCCCTACCCCCTCCCACCCTCCCTTCAGGTACACTGTCAACACCAGCGAGACACGGGGGCCCACTGCTCCGTAGACTCACCCCCAACGTCGTTCCGTGTGACTTTTGCTGGGCGCACACCCACCACCCGATAGCCTCTCTCACCCCTGCTTGTTCAAATCATGGCCAAAACCTGCCTCAAACACCCCCTCCCCTGAGACACCACTGCACGGCCTTCCCCTGGGGGGTCACCAGCCCCTTCTCAACCCCTTCTCAGGATCCTCACACACTTTGGGGTCAGCCAGGGAATGGAGTACCCCAGGCACTTCCTGTGCGAAGCCCTTCCCCATAGGCCCCACCATGGCCCGGTGAGGGGAGCACTTTGGGCCATTCGATAGATGAGGGACACCAAGCCTGGTCTCCGTCCCATCAGGGCCACACAGCGGTGGCCCTGGCCAGGCACTTTAGGGCAGCAGTCAGGCTGCCCACCTCCTGGCTTGGGAGCCCCAGGCCCAGTCTGAGTCTTGGGTTTGTGACCTACTAGTGCCCTTGAGCAAGCTAAGGAGCCCAGTGGAATAGGCTGCTAACACACAAGGTCAGCAGTTCGAAACCACCAGGCACGCCGTGGGAAAAGATGGGACCTTCTAGTCCCTAGAGAGTTACAGTCTTGGGAACCCACAGGGGCAGTTCTACCCTGTCCTACAGGGTCGCTCTGAGTCGGCATCAACTCTATGGTAGTGAGTTTGGTGTTTTGGTTAGTGCCCTGGAGCAAGTTCAGGAAGCATGGAGGTGCTGTTGGTTCAGTGTTGGACTGCTCACGGCAAGGTTGGTGGTTCAAACCCACCAGGTACTCTGCTGGAGAAAGATGAGGCTGGCTGCTCCCGAGAAGATGTACAGCCTCAGAAACCTCTCCAGGTTTGCTATGGGTCGGAATCTCTGTGGCTGCGTCCGTTCCACCGTCCACTACTCGTCTCGGCCATGGGGCAGGGCCTCCCTGCAGTGACCTCACTCATGCACTCACACACTCACACACTCTTACCTCACTCACTCACACGCTCACACTCATACTGACACTCACTCA